CCCCCATACTGTATTCTTCTACAGCAAAGGGAACATGTAAATAGCAGGGGACATAGAATATATGAGTAGGAGGTGGTATATTCATGTCAATTTTAGATCAATGTAAAAAAAAAAGGTGATGACATTCAGCTTTCTAAACCACATATTGGGCTTGATTCATCATAAAGCTTCTGTGATACTGTACATACTGCATGTTAAAAAGTGGCATATAAAAACATGGTGATTGTAAAAACAAACTGCCAGATCTCCAGAGTGTGCCCAACTTCCTGTCTGAGCTGACACACCGTGCCTAAAATCCCAAGCACTGTTTATAGCCCTGGTGGACAACAGAGCACCTCCTTCTCCCATCTTCATAACATACAAGCCAAGCACAACATAGACATAATGAACCTACAACACATCCTACTCATAGGAGATACTTGGATTATTCAAACACAAATCTGGACTATTACAGTGTATTATAAAATAGGAAACATCACTGTATATAAAATGCTTAACATTCATTTCTACATATCAAAACATCAATCCATTAAAAAGTGCACTGGAATTAAAATTTAAAAAAAATGTTTATTGAACTTTTCACATTAAATATTTTATTTTTATTACAATTTTTCCTTCTTTACTTTTAGGGGCTTCGGGGAAATGTTAGCCGTCTAAGCAGACCTCTGATATTTCCCTTTTAAAATGGAAAAAGAGATTGATGACTGTGTCCTCAATCTCTTCCTGCAGCCCCAGTTTGTTCACACCAAGCGCGGAGCAGATCCGGACCAGAGCAGGTGCAGACCGGATCAAAACTGTGTCCAATGTATTCCTATGGTATTTTGACCTCCAGTTCACATCGCAGCATGCGGATCCAGACCGGATGAAAAAAATGCGGCAAGCCTTATTTTACCTGCTCTGGAACGCATCAAAAACGCATGCAAGTGCCTGAAAGTCCATGTTAAACTTAAATTTTTTTTTTTTTAACCAAAAACGGCCCTAAACGCATCAAAAACACATCCAAAACGCGGCACAACCCACTACACTGCGTGTGCAGAAACCTGACCGGATCTGGTCTGCATTTGGTGTGAACAAGGCCTTATAAATGAACAGGAATCCTCTATACTGAGTGTTCCTGTTCATTCATAACCTAACAGTATGTTTACTGTTACCACAATCATGAATGAACATTAGGTGATGTAGATCACTTCCCATTCGTTCATAATTGAGGATATAGTAACCATGCTATGTCCTCAATTATGTACAAACACTCAGCGATCACTGAGTGTTTGCATTGGCTCTCCTCTCTGACACGCTGTCACAGGAGGCTGAGCGGTGTGGGAGGAGAGCTCAGCCTCCTGTGACAGCGATGGCCGTCTACCCCCACAGCGCTCTCCTCTATCTGTGACAGAAGGCTGAGCGGTACCAGGAAGAGACACTGGCAGCTCACATCGCTCTCCCCCCGCAGCACTCGTCCGCCTGTCAGTTTCTATCCTCACCGCTGGGACACAGAGCAGTGCCCGGCGGGGATGAGAGAAAGAACAGATGCACCGTGGTATCGGCCAGAAAATGACAATTCTCCATTATGCCAAATTTGCCATTTTCGTCCCGTATGTTTTGGCAGCCGCTATATTGGTGCATTCCTAATTAAAAGCAAGCAATACAGTAACATTTCTGTCCATTTGGATCCATGAATCAAAAAAACTACCAAAAGATCGTAAAGTCCAGGATCCAAGGGGGTGATGTTTCCCATTATAATACACCTTAAGTCTATTTTTGAATGGAAGTACTTCATAACATATAGGAGAGAGAACTTAGGCACACCTGATAACACTGTTCAGGATTTCAGTGCAGCAAAGTCAGAGTGCACAACAGCTCCGAGGATCATCAGGCATATGTCTGCAGATGCAGCATTTTTAAAGGCGGCCTGAACTCAAAAAGCAAATATAGGTTATTGGTAAAGAAAATGTTGATGCCTAAGCAGTGCCCTGAAAAATGTCCCCTTTGAATTCCTCCTGAAATGCAGTCCATATCCTGGTACAGGATTGTGCCCAAGCACTTGTGTGCCTATGGCCTCAGATGTATTTCTGCAGAGTGAGGCACTGTCTGTGAATGACATTTTCACAATATTTGGTGTGAGATTGTGATTTGATTACAATATGTATTACATGCATCTCCGCTTCTTTCATTCTGTGGATTTGTGCTTTCCGAACCTTTGCTTCTTGAATATTCTCTCACCAGTTATCAGATTACCATGCACTTGTTCTGCACAGTGTGTCTTGGTAAAAGAGTACTCGTGATTGGTAAAGTCATTAAAAAAAAAAAAAGGGAAAAAATAGCAGGTAGCCTACAGGAAATACTGGCGACTCGTCCCTGGACCTATTCTTGGGCACAGCTTCCACAGTTCAGGTCCTCTTCAAAGGATTAAAACATGGGGAGAAGTGCCAACACTGCAGAAATGTACCGCCTAGGAGTGGCCCCTGCGGTGGCCAATGAAGAATAGCACAGGATTGGCGCAAGCAGAAGTTTCATTTAGGAGGTTTAATGACTGTTCTTTGAACTGCTTGTTCCCAGCTGCAGAGGCTCACAGGCTTCTTTTTTTTTATAAAAATGTTTACATAAAGAACCATATGGGCTACAATAGGATTAGCTGCCAAGGCCTATGTTACTGCAACCAACAATAAATCCGACATTCCTGCTCACCGTATGCCTCTCCTAACTTGATCTAGACCAGTGGTTCTCAACCTGTGGGTCGGGACCCCCTCGGGGGTCGAATGACGATTTGCCAGGGGTCGCCTAGTCAGAAAAAAAAAAACCCACCATAGGAATGCATAGCTAGATTCCTATTGGCTATTTCACTTTGCATAAGCCAATAGCAAACTAGCTATTGCAACCGCCATCTGATGCTGCCAATCAGCAGAGGGGGACCTGAAGTTCGGCACGTGGAGCTGCGAACACGCCCGAGCCCATCCCTATCAGTGACAGTACTGCGGAGTACAGGTGAAACTCGAATAATTAGAATATCGTGCAAAGTTCATTTATTTCACTAATGCAACTTAAAAGGTGAAACTAATATATGAGAGAGAGAGAGAGACTAATTCAAGCCGTGATTTGTCATAATTGTGATGATTATGGCTTACAGCTCATGAAAACCCCAAGAACCCCAAATCCACAACCTCAAAAAAGTAGATTATTACATGCAATCAATAAAACAAGGATTGTACATAGAACAATATCGGACCTCTGAAAAGTACAAGCATGCATATGTACTCAGTACTTGGTTTGGGCCCCTTTTGCAGCAATTACTGCCATTACTTTTGCACGATATTCTAATGATTCGAGTTTCACCTGTATATATAGCCACACACTTTAAATCCAATTCTTCTAGTTCCAGCTGCAGAGCCCGGTCCGGTCTTTGCCTATAGCAGTGGTTCTCAACCTGTGGGTCGCTGTGCAAGGTGAGAGTCCTCCTCAGCTCTCTCCTAGCACAGCAGTGTCAGTTCTTCTGCCACGCCTCCAGATGTCGTTGCAGCAGCCGCGTCATCCCTAAATTTTACCTTTGGGGGTCACCACAACTTGGCAAATATTACCAAGGGGTCCCGGCCCTAGAAAGGTTGAGAACCACTGATCTAGACCCTTCTACAGGTGAAACTCGAATAATTAGATCATGCAAAGTTCATTTATTTCACTAATGCAACTTAAAAGGTGAAACTAATATATGAGATAGACTCATTACATGCAAAGCTGGATAGTTCAAGCCGTGATTTGTCATAATTGTGATGATTATGGCTTACAGCTCATGAAAACCCCAAAAACCCCAAATCCACAATCTCAGAAAATTATAATATTACATGCAATCAATAAAACAAGGATTGTACATAGAACAATATCGGACCTCTGAAAAGTATAAGCATGCATATGTACTCAGTACTTGGTTTGGGCCCCTTTTGCAGCAATTACTGCCTCAATGCGGCGTGGCATGGAAGCTATCAGCCTGTGGCACTGCTGAGGTGTTATGGAAGACCAGGATGCTTCAATAGCGGCCTTCAGCTCTTCTGCATTGTTCGGTCTCATGTCTCTCATCTTTCTCTTGGCAATGCCCCATAGATTCTCTATGGGGTTCAGGTCAGGCGAGTTTGCTGGCCAATCAAGCACAGTAATACCACGGTCATTGAACCAGGTTTTGGTGCTTTTGGCAGTGTGGGCAGGTGCCAAGTCCTGCTGGAAAATCAGCATCCCCATAGAGCTCGTCTGCGGAAGGAAGCATGAAGTGCTCCAAAATCTCCTGGTAGACAGATGCGTTCACCCTGGACTTAATGCAGCATAGTGGATTTGGGGAGCCATGTCATCTGCTGGTGTTGGTCCACACAGACTGTGGAAACTTCACACATCTTGCAGTGTGTGCCTCTCCAGTCTTCCTCCATACTCTGGGTCCTTGGTTTCCAAATGAGATGCAAAATTTGCTCTTTGGACCACTGAGCAACAGACCAGGTCTGTTTTTCTTTAGCCCAGGTAAGACATCTCTCTCAGCCAATGCACACGGAATTACATGTGCCAAATGCGTCTCGTATGCTCCTAGCAAAACAACTGGTCCTAGGGTTCATCTATTGAATGTATATGTCTGTATAGCGCTCTGCAAAATATTATTATAAAGCAACAACATGAAGTGTAGGAGTCAATATCAAAATTCCACAACACCTGCCGAGACACAGATGTTATCCCAGCATGGACCCTTCGGTCCTAACTTCTTGACAGTAGTCAGGGCAGTGTTAGCAAAATGGGGGGTTGGCTACCAGCAGGGGCCAGTCTCTAGACCAGGGGTAGCCAAACTCTGGCCCTCCAGCTGTGGGGAAACTACAAATCCCATGATGCATCTCTCCGGGAGTCATGTCTGTGGCTGTGAGAATCTTGAAATGCCTCATGGGATTTGTAGTTCCATCCACCACAGCTGGAGGGCCGGAGTTTGGCTACCCCTGCTCTAGACTGTCTTTTGTTGATATTTCTCTACTCTTGTAGGTGGCAGTATAACCCAGCAGTCAAGATAATCAGATCGATGCTGTGTTCCTCAACGAAGAGAAATGCTAGTTGATTGGCTGTGAAGCCAAGGGGTACAAGCATGACACATGCCAGGCAACTAGAAATACATTTACCCTTTAACCCCTTCATGACTGAGCTTGTTTTCAGTTTCTGTTCATAAAATGACTGACACTTTTTACATTTTTGCTGTGTGATTCTTCCACAGCAGCAAGTTGTGATTATTTCTAGAATGTTTTGTATAATTATAGTA